GTGGTGGTTTGGAGCTGCTGGAACTCCTGTGTGGCTACCAGGGCCCCGGTACTTTATTCCAAAATGGCGAAGGAAAGCCAGGGCAGGCACAGTGGCTGAGCAACTCATTGGAAAACAACTGGGGGAAAAATGGGGCCAGCATCTCATTTGTGTATTCAGATAGGAGCCCAGGGCCTCCCCACACTGTTCCCTGGCATGCTTATGCAAATACAGAAATAAGAGTTGCTATGCGATACAAACACCTCGGACACACATTTTATTCACCCCCTTCACATTTTTCAAGGTCTTACACAACAAGCTGTGTGTCAGCTGTGGAGGATTCCAAGATAGACAAAGCATTCCTGCGCCCAGAGAGCCGAGGGAGCATGGACTATTGCGTTTATGCCGTGGTGTGGGCCTGCAGAGGAAACATGCTCCTTGAAGACTCAAAGGAGTGAGGCCGTTGAGTTTGGCCTCAGGGGTGTGGAGGGTGACCGGGGATCAGCTGGGAGAAGGGCCTTCCTTCCAGGCAGAGACAACAGCTTGAGAAAAAGCAGAGGAAGAGGTGGGGTTGAGGGTGGGCACTCAGGAATCCAGAGTCCACACTTTTGCAGGGCATCCGAAGCAGCCAGAGTCCGCCTGAGCAGCAGCGCTTAGCCTGGGGGCATGTTGGAAAGGACCCTCTGCCAAGAACGGTGAGGTTCCTCCTCTCCACAGGTCAGAGTGCCTCTCAGATACACTTGCCTTTGTCTCCAAAAGGTGGACTCGGTTGGCAGAGTATCCAGAAGAAAGAAGCAGTGACGGGGGATCCTGTTAGTCGGCTGTCAGGTTAGGGGTAAACAAATGAGCTTGAGAGGGGGATGTGGAGATGCCAAAGGCATTTCAGAGCAGAGATGAGGAATTGAAATGCCGGGTCAGGAACAGGAGGAAAGTAGGAAAAGCAGGGGAGATAACAGGCTGGCTTATCTGTGCAGTTAGGTGATCCTACTAACAGATAGAAGACTTCCAAGATCACTGTGGCCAGCTTCTCCCACACTGAGACAACAGCCTACCCTTAAAGGTGTTGACGCAGAGCAGCCAGTAGGGGGAGCTATGGGCATTCCCTTTCTCTTCTCGGCTTACCATCAAGATCAGAAAGTTCAGCCAGGGCATCATCATTCTGTTCCAAGGACCTAAGGCAGCCCTTGTTACCTTGTCATAAAGACCTTAGTGTCTGCAGACTGCTCTGGGATTCTCCAAACTTAGAACTGGTCAGATCGTTTCTGTGGCCTGGTAAGCTGGCTGGGGAAGGTCTGGAAGACTGGAAAGGGTTTTGTAGACCATCTTGGCCAGGATGCCAGGAGGAAGAGACAGCTTAGCAAGCTTGTTGAGTGCACTTTTCTTTCTTTTCTTTTCTTTTTTTTTTTTTTAATTTACAAAGTCACACACAGTTGACCTCACTGTGACCTTTGGGTTTCTCAGAACATAGGCTACCTTAGAAAACAGTTTTTAAAGACCTCAGCTTGTCGTTGGCCATCGTTCTATCTGAGCTACTGGAACAAGGGTGGCCTAAGAAGGAGGTGAGCGGGTGAGTGTGGAAGGCAGTAGACATGTGGGAACCGGGCCCTGTGGAGGTGGCCACAGCAGCACTCAAATCGCCATATCCCTGTCCTAATGACGTCAGACCCCAGTGAATCTGAGAATACATTCCCCATAGGGATACTGAAGGGGGAGATGAGGTGATGCCTGCAGACCATGCAGGGATGCAGCCAAGATGATGCATGCAGACCATGCAGGGATGCAGCCAAGATGATGCCTGCCGCCAAATCTCACAGTTTTTCTTTCTTTTTGATTTATTTATTCATTTATTTATTTATTTATTTATTTAGTATATATGGTGCTTTATCTGCATATATGCCTTTATGCCAGAAGAGGGCACCAGATCTCATTATAGATGGCTGTGAGCCACCTTGTGGTTGCTGGGAATTGAACTCAGGACCTCAGGAAGAGCAGCCACTGCTCTTAGCCGCTGAGTCATCTCTCCAGCCCCATTACTAATATTCTTAGCAGCATTTTTATCATCAAAGTTTTAGAGCCTTCCTTCTACTTGCTCCCTCGAGGCTCCTGGCTAAGAAAAGTCGTCTCCACTCCGTCTCCCCGCCTCTCAGACTTAGGCTCATGCTTCCGATTCTCATGACATCTCTGCATTACAGCCAAGAGAGGCTTCCATGTTTAGCACAATGTTCATAGAAAGCTATCAGGAACTGTGACCCTGGGGGTCACGGGTAAATGAAGGATTGAACAAGCAGATGCATGGTGCTGGGCTACATTTGATTTCTGGCCTCAGTCACCCTCCAGTAAAGATGGCATGGTGCGGGGCTGCAAAGATGGCTCAGTGATTAAGAGCACTGGCTCCTCTTCCAAAGGGCCGGGGTTCAATTCCCAGCACCCACATGGCAGCTCACAGCTGTCTGTAACTCCAGTTCCAGGAGATCCAGTTCCAGGGACTCCAATGCCCTCTTTTGGCTTCCTCAGGCATCAAGCATGCATGTGGTATATAGATATATACATGGAAAAAAGACCCATATACATACATAAGATTAAAATGAAGGGGGGAAAGATGGAGTCATACTCTGGGGGCCCATCATGGAGGTGTCAAAGACCAACACTCATACCAAAGGGTACCAGATCCAGAAACCCCAGTCATAGGGTTGGGGCTGGCGAGGGGGTGGGGAGAACGTAGGCTCTGCCTGGAGTCATCCCTGTCATAGAACAAACTGCTGACAGCTGAGACAAATCATAAACTAGCTCAGGCTCAGAACTGATGGGACTCGGTGACAAAATGGTGGATGTGCCCAGAGAGGACCCTGAGAGGACTGGAAAGGGGCACCTATGTCTCTAGTCTTGTCTGGTTATGAGTCTTCCTTAATAGAATGAGGCAGAAGGAAAACTAAACATAGCCAGCTAAGGGGTACAGAAAGTGCCTCCTGGCTCCCAGGCCTGTGAGTACATCCGGGAGTTCTTCGTGCCTCTCAAAGCCCCTCCCCTCTGTTTCCATGTCCACCACCGGCTTCTCCAGCCCACAAGCCTTTATTGAGCACATCTCACATGCAAAGCAATGCCCTGGGTCTTAGCGTCCAATAAAAATGTATTGAAGCAATCACAGTGTGCTATAAAGCTGGCATGGGGATGCTCCAGGGGAGACTGGCAGGGAATTTTACTAGACAGCATCTGGAAAGGAAATATGGGTGACCCATCACCAGAGCCAGGGTTGGTTGAAAAAACATAAAAAATTAGATGGAGAAAGCCCGCCAACTCAGAAAAACAGGCACGGAGCCTGGCCTGGAGAGCAAGGCCCTGCAGCAAGCGCTGGTCATCGCTTCCAGCATGGAGGGAAATTTTAAAGTGAGGAGTGCTGAAATGTAGTGGTATGCCAAAACTCTAAAGATCTAGATCTGTGCTTAGACTAAGAGTCTCTGGGGGCTATCTTTTGATTTGGGGCATCTCTAGAGGATCTGTGAGGAAGCTTGAGATCCTCCAGCTCTAGCCCCACCCCCACCACTCCTGATGTAACCCCACCCAGAGGTGCTCCAGTGTTTCCAAACAGCGCCATCCTGCCTGGACTTGGCCTGTAGACAGGCACAGCCAGTTAGGAAAGCAGAGACTTGGCCTGGGGAAATGGCTCAGTAGGTGAGGCACTTGTTACACAAGTGTGCAGACCTCAAGTTCAAATCCCCAGCACCCATGTACAATGCTGGTGTGTGACTTTGTGTGTCTGTAACCTCAGTGCTGTGAGGAGAAGAGGCAGAAGGGTAGCTGGGGGTTGCTGCCCACGAGCCTAGTCGAGGCCCAGTGAGAGACTGTCTCAGCGGGACACCTGATGTCCTTCTCTGGCTTCCACACACACACATACAGGCATGCACATACATGTACAACACCACCACACACAAACACACACACACACACACACACACATACAGGCATGCACATACATGTACAACAACACCACACACACACACACACACACACACACACACACGAAAAGAGAAACAGACTCGCAGGAACGGCACCAGCCCCGCTGACCCAGCAGTTCCATTTAACAATGTAGGGGTGATTTATTTGCAAGCATGTGTGGGACTATGTGTGAGCCAAGCTGAACACTGAGGCGTGGACTCTGAGAGCAAAGTGACCGGTCACTCTGCACTCGTGGGCATGGGGACTCCTCCCTAGTGATAACTGAGGACTCTTGTGTTAAGTATGAAGTGGAAGGCAGAGATTTGAGGTGCAGGAAAAGGACAAAAGAGAAACTGTCCCCCTGATTATTGCCGATGCCATACTTCTGTACCCTTGTCCTATTGTTCAATTCTCTGGAACATTCCCTACCCTCTTACTTGCTAACTCCTTTCAGCCTCAGCCCTGGGGTCAACTCCTAAGAGCCCAGCTGTCATTCAGACAAGATAAGTGTCTTTCCTGTGTTCCTTACTCCTCCACACCAGCAAGCCAGAGCCACACAAATATGTTCCTACCCTAACTAAACTATAAAGTCAAGAGCAGGGAGCAGATCCCACTTTCTATATACCCCAGGATCAACTCAATGGCTGGCCCATGACAGATACTGTCCTAGTGAGGGTTACTGGTTTTTTGGGTTTTTTTTTATTATTATTAAGAAAATTTTTTCATTCATTTTATACACCAATCAAAGATCCCCCTCTTCCCTCCTCCTGCCCCCCAGCCTCTCCCCCAACCCACCTCCCACTCCCACCCACAAGAAGGCAAGGCCTCCCAGGGGAGGCACATCCAGTAGAGGCAAGTCCAAGCCCTTCCCCCCTGCCTCAAGGCTGTGAGAGGCGTCCCATCATAGGCACTGGGCTCCAAAAAGCTGGCTCATGCACCAGGGATGGATTCTGATCCTACCACCAGCCCTCCCCTCTACCCCAAGCAGATCAAGCTACACAACTGTCTCGCCATGCAGAGGGCCTAGTCCAGTCCCATGCAGGCTCCACAGCCATTGATCCAACTTTCATGAGTTCCCACTAGTTTGGTTTGGTCGTCTTTGCAGGTTTCCCCCCTCATGATCTTGATTCACTTGTTCACAGAATCGTGAGAGTTACTGTTGCTGTGATGAAACACCATGACCAAAAAGCAAGTTAGGGAGGTTTGTTTGGCTTGTACTTCCACATCACTCACTGTTCATCATTGCAGGAAGTCAGGATGGGAACTCAAACAGGGCAGGAACCTGGAGGCAGGAGCTGATGTACAGGCTGTGGAAGAGTGCTGCTTACTGGCTTGCTCACCATGGTTTGTTCGGCTTGCTTTCTTATATCACCCAGGGCCGACAGCTCAGAGATGACACCACCCACAATGGGCTGGGCCCTCCCACATCAATCACCAGTGAAGGAAATGACCCACAGCCAGATCTTAGGGAAGTATTTTCTCAATTGAGGTTCCCCTTCCGATGACCCTACCCTGCGTCAAGTTGATATAAAACTAGCCAGCACAGGTTCTCAGGACAGACTTATTAAATAGATGAATATTGGTCAAACATAAATAAGTCAATCTCCAGGGGATATAGCAGGTGTTAACGAGCTGCTTATTATTCTGTGTTGCTCACTAACAGCATGGCACTGAGGACAAGTATCTTTTGCTGCATATAAGGACTTAATAGATGTCCTAGCCAGGCGGTGGTGGCAGCGGCGGCGCAGGCCTTTAATCCCAGCACTTGAGAGGCAGAGGCAGGCAGATCTCTGTGAGTTTAAGGGTAAACCTGGTCTACAAAAAGAGTTCCAGGACAGCCATGGCTGTTACAGAGAGAAACTCTGTCTCAGGGGAAAAAAACAAAAAACCACAGATGTCCTTCAGTTTCAACAAATAAACGCAGGTGTGAGAAGAGACTCGCACAGCACTTAAGCATGCTAGATCGAGTGCTGCTGAGACGAACATCCTGGCTCTGCTATTTGCTGTACAGTTCAGGCCACTTACATAACCTCTCTGATGCCTCAGTTTATTTTTCTGTAAAATTGTGATTATAGGGCTTGGGGGTATAGTTCAGTGGTGGAGCACATGCTTAACATTCCTAAGACCCTGGGTTCAATTTCCAGAACTATCACCATGTGATAGTAATAAAATCTATAAGGATTTCCTGTGCTTAATCACATTAAAGTATGTTCAAAGCACCCAAGAAAGCATTGCTATGGATGTTTGAAAGAAAACAGCTGGGTAGAAAAGGTGCTGAGTCCACAGAAATCGAGTTAGCTGGGACCTTGAAAGGCTGGGCAATGAGCAGGGCAGGGACACGCTGCAGGTGCAGGATCCAGAGATGAACTTAGGTCCGGGTTCCTGGTTCTCAAGCCCAGGAGGGCACACCCTGCCCCCACCGAGCACCTGTGCGTCACACTCACTGCCTCCTCTCTTTTCTAAAGGAAAATGTCTCTCTGATCAAGGAGATTAATGAGCTCCGCCGAGAGCTGAAGTTAACCCGCTCCCAAATCTATGACCTCGAATCAGCCCTGAAACTGTCCAAGAAAGCGCGGCCACAAGAAGTCCCGGAAACAGGTAACGCCACTGGGATTTGGGCGCTGAGAGGAAGGCCCACTGGTGGCCATGAGCAGGTCTCCCTTTGACTTCTTTCAATATCAGGTCACATCCACCCGTGGCTTTCCGGAGCTTCTCCATGGCACACACCACCTCTCTAGAGGATCTATGTTCTCACTCATAGGGCCACAGGCTCCTGTCCTCAAATCCTCAGGGTTAGCTGTAATTCAGAACTCAGAATCTTGCAGAGTTTAGAAAGAACATGCTGTATATTATGTAACATCCCCACGGGGTCTGGGGCAGTGCCCTGAACTCAAACACATTAGTATTCTACAGTGACATGTGAATATTCAAACCGAGCTTCAGGAATTTAAAACAGTGTTCCATTTTTAAATCTTTTTTTTTCCTCTACATTTTAGAATTGTGGGTAAGGGACCTGTACAATTAAAATGAAGACAAAAAGATGAGGAACTGTTTAAAGGGAGAGGGAAATTACATAAGAAATGTTCAATAAGTTGTGACCGCGATGACATGTTAACTGGCCTCTGACCATCTGGTAGCCCAGGCAGAAAGGGAGGTAGTATGATAGTGAATCCCCACACTTCGGAGACTGAGACAGGAGCATTGCCATGAGCTCAAGGTCAGCCTGGGCTACAGTGCCATACGCTGTCTCAAAACAAAAGGGGTCAGGCGGTGGTGGCTCACGCCTTTAATTCCAGCACTCGGGAGGCAGAGGCAAGTGGATCTCTGTGAGTTCGAGGCCAGCCTGGGCTAAAGAGTGAGTTCCAGGAAAGGTGCAAAGCTACACAGGGAAACCCTGTCTTGAAAAACCAAACCAAACCAAAACAAAACAAAACAAACAAAACAAAAAAAAAGGGAGTGTAGTTTACATAATTCTCTCACTGTATGGCAGAAAGAAGGAGGTTGGCTGGTTTGCTTTTTTCCTGGGGAAACAAACTTTTTCCTGGTACTAGACCCCATGAGAAAGGTATCCCACGGCTCTCTAAGAAAGAAAGGTTGACAAAAAGTCTCCAGTCTCCACAGGCTTTCAGGCAGTAAAGATATATTCCCGAAGTCATCTTCGTACCTGATCATCAGGACGAACCAAGAATGGAAGGCATCTCTGTGAAGAGTAACCCAGTGAAGCGGACATGCCTCATGTTCTGGTGGTTGCTAGTCAGGAATAAAGACCTGATGAGCTGAAGCATCCCAGAGCAAACGCCTTCCGATTGCAGATGCCCCGGGAACTTCCTCTGCTGTTTCTGCAATCTGTGTAATAGCCCTGTGCTACGCGACTACATGAGATCTGTGATGAACTACACAGATGATTGGGGTGCCTTGTCCCCATGGCCATCTTAGTATAAGGGTACTGTCCAACGTTCTCACAAAGTTGAGATCGCCTAGTGGCTCACAGTTCCTGGACCACACGTATCCTTGTCGTTAATCATCATGTATATATGTATGTATACAATTGTATTGCACTGTGGTCCCTTTAAGTTAGTATAACAGCTGGGACCACGTAAATCCTTTGCGTGGTACCCAAAGTCGCCCTCTTCAGTCCTCAGCATGGACATGAGAACACAGCATACTCCCCAAAGCGTGAGCTACCAATTTCTGAAAGCTGAGGCCACCTTCTTTTGGGGGCATAAAGCTCAGATAAGCCTGTGAACAACTGCAAAACTTCTCTTTAAAATGTTACCAACCTGGCCTGGTGTGGTGACACACACCTTTAATTCCAGCACTCAGGTAACCTCTGTGAGTTCAAGGCCAGCCTAGTCTACAGAGTGAGTTCTAGGACAGCCAGGACTACATGGAGAAACCCTGTCTCAAAAAAAAAAAAAAAAAAGAAGGAAGGAAGAAGGAAGGAAGGAAGGAAGGAAGGAAGGAAGGAAGGAAGGAAGGAAGGAAGGAAGGAAAGAAAAAGGAAACCACAAACGTTGCTGTGCCTAAGGATGCACACCTGTAATCCCAGCACTCGAAGGGCCAGAAGCGGAAGGGTTAACTCCAGTGAGAGGTGAGCACAGACAGGAAGACAAGAAGATCCCTGGGGATGGCTGGCTACCAGCCTAGCTAAAGAACAACCATCTCCAGGTTCAGCGAGAGCTTTCTCAAGGGACTAGGTGGAAATCCATTAGAGGAAGACACCGGGTGTCCTTCCTGTGGCCTCCACCTGTGCACACCCATGCAAACACCACAGAAAGAAAGGGGGGAGGGGCAGGAGAAGGGATTAAAGAGAAGGGGGGGAGGGAAGTGGGGAGAAAATACTACAGATTCGCCAGAGCATCCTGAAAACTCTTTAGTTGGGACACCCCCCCACCCCCCACATCCTCACCTCCCCCACTCCCCCACCCCCACAGGCAGCTCTTTATATCGTTAATATGGAGATTTCCAGACATGTAAAAAGTTGAGAGCAAAATCTGGTGAATGTGCAGGAGTCCGTTTCCCAACTCCAGGAAGCACCGTTTCCTGCCGCTCTTGTATCTTCAGTACCTGCCCCCAGCACACCCCAGCCCAACACTCACACCATGAACTGCTGGAAAGCAAGCCAATCAGATCCTTCATCTGCTACAGCTTTATTAAGGAACATTCACTTGTGACAATTGGTGACAAGTAATACCAGTTGTTGACCTCGATTGTGCAAAACCGAAGTCTGACCTTGGATTTTGAAATGTGCGCCCGCCCCCTTCCCAAGACAAGTCAGAGCAAAATACACATTCTTCAAGTTGCTTAGGGCGTCAGCCGGTGCGGCTGGTGTCTTAAGAATCCTTTGAACAGGAGAGCTTGTTCTTCCCTAACCACTACCTTAGGTTTAACAACATTTATATTGTTTTCAAATTTGCAAGACAATTAGCTAACAGATCTAGCAGATAGGCCTGCTTGTTTGTCGATTGCTAAACCCGCATCTCTAGAATTTACAACTAAAGGTAGCTTTTAAAAACCAGGTAAACTGACATAAATGGGCTGTGAACAGAGGGGGCACAAAAGGGAAGTAAGGGACAACTGGAAAGCTGGGATGAGTGCCCCTGACTTCATAGGCCCAGGAAACTAAACCCTAAACTGAAAATGAAGACCACAGAAAAAAACCAACATATGCTGAACTATCAAAACAGCTAACTATAGGATAAAACCAACGGAGACGATGAAAAGTCAGACTATTCAAATGGACCCACAAGATGGTCAAAGGACTGGCCTGAGCTGGATCTTCAGGACCCAAATGATGGAAGGACAGAATTGACCTCTGACCTCTATTGTGTGTGGTGGCATGCATGGAAACACACACACACACACACACACACACACACACGGAGTGGAGGAAGCCCTGAGTAAGTGAAGTCCTGAATGAATATGTGCTGTGGATATGGACATGGACATGTCATAGACCATGTCAAGGGCTGTGTCCATGTGGACAGAACCCCAAAGCCTCAGCCCCATGGGAAATGGCGAAAGCTTCCCTCCTGGTGCAAGTGCAAGTGTTGACAGTGTGTGCAAAGAAGGAAGGAATGTCCTCCGTAGTTTCTTCTCCCCGTGCCCACCCGGATATTCACGGCCCGGAGACTGCTCCTTGCTGAGCCGTAGCTAATAATGCAGCCTCTCTGTTCAACTGCAGAGTAAACCCCGAGCTTCTTCAGCAGAGAGCCCAGTCCCCACCCCATCCTGGCTTTTCTTTGTCTGCCTGTCCTTTCTTCAGTCCTTGCCACCCCAACCAGACCAAGTCACTGACGCTGTGCAAGCAAGGACTCAACATGCACACACATGTGCACACACATGAAGAAATAGATGAGCAAAATATAACAAAACGATTTAATGCCTTATGTTTAAGGAAATAGAAAGAGGAATTTGTTGTTGTTGTTGTTGTTGTTGTTGTTGTTGTTGAGTTTTTTGAGACAGGGTTTCTCTGGGTAGCCCTGGCTGTCCTGGTAGTCGCTCTATAGACCAAGCTGACCTCAAACTCAGAGATCCACCTGCCTCTGCCTCCCGGGTGCTGGGTTAAAGGCATGGACCACCACCACCCAGTGATTTTTTTTTTATAAGCGAGAGTCTTCTAAAATTTTACAGTCAAATTATACTTAAAAACCACAAATAACTAGTAGAACTGAGAACTATAATTATTATAATTCAAATCTCAATGAACAAATGGAGCTGTATAATAGACGACACACCCACCTGAAGAGAGAATATAAGAAAGAAGATGGTGGCCAGGTTTCAGCCAGAGGGATGGTCGAGAAGTCCTGAGAGCCAGGGATGGAAGGGAGCAAGCCAGCACTGTCTAAGTGGCGTCTCTAGAAGATGGGTGTTACCAAAGGAGCAACAGAGTTTTTCAGCATCAATGAAAGATGGCGACCATCAGCTCCAGGAATCCTAATGGTTCCCGAAAGGATAATTAACAGCAAACCTACATCAAAACCACAGAACACCAAAGACAAGGGGTTAATGCAGTCAGGGAGAAGAGCAAGGGCTGAGACACAGGAGTAACAGTGCCAGGTAACATGTGACTTCTCAATGGCAACGGTGAGAGCCAGAAATGGTGACACAGTCCTTTCAGAGTGCTGAAGCTTGGTGGCTAAAATCCCCCAGATATGTATCACCAGGGAAACAAAGGCAAAATGTAGACTCTGAGCCCCCAGTAATGACCTAACACAGGGAGCATGACAGCTGAATTGTGGATCCAAAGAGCAAATCAGAAGAGCTGAAATACTGGGCAGAAGCATCAAAGCCAGGTCTGAAACCGAACCATCCCATGTCTCTGGTTGTTTCACAACAGGAGAACCATTTTGTGTGTCCGTGACTTTGGGTGAACATGCACCACAGAGTACATGTAGACGTCAGGGTGAGAGGACAACTCAATTCACAG